CAAAGCGAAATTAAACCAACGAAATCGGGTTAGGCGGATTTACCAAAATTGAGAGATTAGCGAAATTATTCTTAACCGGTAACAGTGTTCTCATTTGCCCGTAACGTTCCACCAGGTTAGATGCATTCTCGTTAACGGGAACAAAATGTTCTCACTTTCAACATATGCTTCATGTGTGATCAAGGTCAGCATTTAATTTTCTAATTTGTATCGCCGCCGTTAAAAAACGGCGATACAAAATTAGAAGAACATTTTGTTTCCATTAACAGGAATGCATCTAACGGGGGGATGAGAACACCCAGAAACTGTGACAGGTTTTGTCACCAATAAGGATACGCAAATTTTTGTCGACACAGCAACAAATAAAGATGAGAAATTTTTGATCAGCCCGGAAAAACAAATCCTACACAAGAAGCAAGAAATACGGGAAGAAGATGCCTAAATCTAGCTTAGTACACTAATAAAAATGTCGGGGAGACAGTTTTATATACAAACTTTCCTTCAGCCCTAACCCTGACCCTAATCCTAAAATCAACCTTTAACAATAATTTTCCAGGATCGACCCAAATCTGGCACAGATTCTTTGTGTGCCCGTCCTGTTACATTAGGCCATATCTTTCACAGTAAAGCCCGCTATAACGAAGGAACAGTCGAGCGAAGATTGCATACATTGAAAGCTTTCTAAAACTGGTGCATTATAAGTGCTATAAGTAATTTCCTATAGCGAAGTCTATTCTTTGGAACGCCGCACTTTGTTAAAGCGGATGTTGCTGCGTATTTGTTTATTGAGCATGCGCCACTTATTCCGGGTCGATCACCGACCCAACTTTCCGGACACCGTGACAAACTTTTCAGGTTACACTAGTAAACTACAAGAATTTCTTTAATTTTCACTCATACGGTGTGAGGAACAATTAATTTACCGAGTCTTCCGAATTAGGATTAGGAATTTCAATCAAACGTTGGTGAGCTCTTCGTCCAAATTGTTCTTGGGTGTCCTTATGTTTATGGGGGAAAATCGGCAATAAGTTTACTTTTGGTTGGTAAGGAATCGGACTACGAAAAATTTTTATCGCTTCTTCGGTGCTAGTAATATCAAACCCGAGATAATGATTCTTTGCTTGTTTCATGTTGATTAAGTTTATTTTATTTGGAATGTTAGGCAAAAAAACATGAGAAAGTAAAACCAATGCAACAAAGAATATTTTTCTTTCCTCAGGAAGAGAATTTAAAGGGAAATCGATAATTTGAGCTCATCCAGGATTGCTTTTATAGAATTAGATATAAGGAGCAAAAGGAGCATTAAAAGTCACGTGAGTATTGTACATCAGAGGGCAAGACTTGACTTATAAATTGAAGATGGTCTTGCAAAAATAATAGTACAACGAGAAAACATAAACTTACTATTTCATTGATATAAGGCACTTCTATTGCTAAGACTAATACTAACAAGATAAAATGATCGCAGGGTTGAAATTAAGGATATATTTATAGAAAATCGAGAGTAATAAGGCGATGACACAGCACAGCTTAAAAATCCAATTCCAGTTTATCAAAGGATATCATTGAAATGAGAATTTTGTGATATTATTGTTAAAAAAAAAGATATCTGAATATGCATTCATTTTATTTACCTGCGCTACTACATGATCAATAGTGAATCAAATAATATTCCAAAAAGCGCATCATTATCATTGATTTACTTAAGGTTATTACATAACCGTTCTTTTGGAGAACAACCTTTGCCAAGACTTTTTGACAACGTGATGTCGTTGAAATTTGCCAGAAAATTTTTGCATAATATCCCTGATTAACTTTGCAAGTCGTATTGCCGGGCCTAGTGCAAAACCAGTACTACAAAGATCTTCTTCATTAACTCGAGAACATCAAGACTAAGAATCTCTTCCTTATGCAAGATTGTGAAATCATCTTTATCAAGTTTCAAGTTTCGCCTCATCCGTTGACAGCATCAACTACTGTAAGAGTAGGTCTCTTTCACGATTATAAAAATATGTAGTAAAATCTTGTATATGTACCTCGCCTGAGCAAAGTGTACAGTTAATTTGCTAGTTAGGTGATATTCTCGGCGGACAAAAGTCATCGAACACTTTTTGTGAGACAATCGTGTGGAAAACAAACTTGAAATTTTAGCACAACATACTTCAGAACATGCAGCAGTGTTAAATTATAACATCAAAGCATTTTTTTTTCATTAGTTCCCTCAGCATTATTTTATGATGTATAAAAGATATTATTAAAATATTTTGAAATATAAAAAGCTTAATATTGCATATTTCAGAATATTTGAATCATCTCTGGTGTAACCAGAACTTTGACCTTTGGAACTGGTATAAATCGGTTCTCCTTCATAAGTTGGGGTGCGACAAGTCTGACAACTATTTATGATTCTTCTTTCTTGATTATTTGATTACTAAACTTAAAGCATCTATGAGTTAATTAAGTGCCCAGTTATTTTATTATGAATTTATATTTTATTTACGTATAGCTTTTTAACAATAATTAAAAAAACTTGAAATTTTCATCACTATCAATAACGATAATATGGTGACTATACTTTTTTTGTGCAAATTATTGATTTGCTGAAATATTATATGCTAATATATTTTTAGCTATAACTTTTTAATGAATGACTAAAAAGACTTGAAATTCTAGTAATCTAAATGCTTAGAACATTAATATAAATTTTCATTAGTATCCCACTATTATTCCGCCATTGTTGACAATTCCTGGTTCCCCATGCGAGGAGATAGATTTGCCATCGGCTCCTTTTGAAGAGCTAGATGATCCTTCTTTGCTACATCCAGATTTCTTATCACCTCTCTTGCCAGATGTCTTGCTGCCATTATTGTCGCCCTTCTGGCCAACCACCTGGTCACATTTCTGGCCTCCTGGTTTTATTGTTGGCATGTCTGGTAATGGATCAAATGGATTAAAAGTACTTCCGTCGATATTGTCAATTCCATTGTTCTCGCCATTGTGGGAACCTTTATTTCCTTTTCCGTTATTTGTTCCGTTCGTCTTTTTCGGGGAGCTGTCATCGATACCGTTTCCAGTGTTGCTATCGTTAGTGCCGTTTCCATGTCCGTCATCGATATTTTCATTGCCGTTGTTATTACCGAAGTCTCGCCCTAAAATCAACGCTGATCGTTGTTCCAATGGAACTGGCGCAGCGGAAACTGAAGCTCCGAGAACAAGAAGAGCAGAGTAGATGATAGCTACAGAGTAGAAAAATTTTGCCATTTTTATATGTTTTTACGTACGTGAGAATTAAATTTTTTTTCGAAAATGTATTTGCAAAATATGATTCAATCGAGATACGTAGGAAGAATGCAATATAGTTTTTTTAAAAAAATTTTTGCTTGACGAATCAATCGCAAGTTATAAAAAGGCAAAGGATAAGGAAATTTAAAAAGAAATGGGATGGATGAATCGAATCAATCGATGACAAAGCTTAAAAGTTAGCGAGAGACCATGTCATTTTATACTCTTCGAACAATACATACGCGTAGATCATTATTTCCTAGTTGGACTATGTACATGTATATCATCAGACATGCCATCGCCCGCTTTCGGCCGTCAAGATGACTGCACAATAATTATGCACATGCCGATACGTATAACGGCCCCTGATCGATTTGGTACGTATTGTATATGCAACAATTGCTTTTCTTATATCGATATGGTTACATTCTGATTAAAAATCCAGAGATTATAATATGCTACAATTTAATGTATATCGATATTGTCACCAAATATTAGAAAACAAAGGATAGCGTTTTATCCTCCACCAATCGTACTTACACGTACAATTAGATTTGGATGGCTTTTTTACCGTTACTGGAAAATTTTTGTATGTCACATTATCAAAGAACATTAATATTGGTTGCATCCCTTTCTAGGAAAAATGTGTTTTGGGACATTTATTTTTAATTATACGAGATGTATGCGGGGAAACTGTTTGCAAATGCCTAAATAACTGATTTTTACAACAATAGAAAAAGTTGCCTAGAGCGTAAAAGTTAAGAAAGGTTGTATAGCGTTGAAACATTTACTGTATTGTTTTAGATCGGGTGTTATTCCACATTTATGTTTTAAAAAAAATATAAGTTCATTAAAATGTAAAAATTTTTTGGCGCTGACATTTACTATACCAAACGTCGATTCAACTAGCGAATAAATCTTAATATTTCAGAAAAAATAATAAATGATATTTGTAGTAGTCAAACATTTTTTGTTCTGAAAAATAAGAATCAACCAAAATTCTCTACTAGTTGTACTATGATAAGGTGCCACTGGAATAGAACCATATTCTCGACGTATTATAACAGTTTTTTCAATCAAGGATTAACTGTACTTTCTTTTAAAAACATTGCAGCTATAAAAATGGTAATTAAATCTATAAGGTTGATTTGTAATATTATTAGCGTTAGGGTGTTGTAACCCCTGATTAATGTGTAAATGGTATATTTTTCTTTTTTGAATAAAATAAAAATATAATAAAGCATGAATTAATTTAAATGGACTTAAAAAATTTATCTAATAAAATGAAATATAATAATTGGATCCCTAGGAAAGAGGGGAAAACAATGCATTAACCTAAAATTCTAATTTAAAGGTATTACGATAAATTTTTCCATCGGTTTCGTTTTGCCTCTGCTATAATTTCCATCGAACCAAAACACAATTTAACTGATATACGTACAGTGGCAATCAAAAAAATGCAACGACGTCAAAATTTATTAATTAAACATAGTTTTTCTCTTTATATAAAAGTTTTCAATTTTACTAATAAATATTTTTTATTTTTACATTAAACTGAAAACAATATCACATATATTTTTTTAAATTTAATCTGATGAGGCTGTCCTAAAGTCAATTATTTTTTTATGTTTTAATTGGAAAAAAAATAATTAACTTTATATGCAATTAGAACAGCTTCATCAGATCAAATTAAATCTAAAAAATCTGAAAAAAAATATGTGTTATTGTCTTCATTTTAATGTAAAAATAAAAAATATTTATTAGTAAAATTGAAAACTTTTATGGAAAGAAAAAAACTCTGTTTAATTAATAAATTTTGATGTCGTTGCATTATTTTGATTGCCACTGTAGGTCTAGCAAGCCCCAAACGAGTATCAGGCAAGTCGACTTTAAATTCTCCTAAAAGACGCATTGCGGGTTCATCGCAGTGACTTGCTGTGAATTTTGTTGTATAAAAAAATCTTATTGATACGGCTTGATTGGATACATTGTGGTAGAAACTTTCTGATTTACTTCCACCTCAAGACTTCTTTTGGCTATCAAAAAGAATTTCTTAATACGTCCGCACAAAGTTTTACGTGATGGCGGATCACCTGGATGAAATATTAGAGAAATCTCAACACCGTATGTCCATTTTAATACACGAGTCTTAATAGTATCCTCATTTAATCCATATTCAACCGCTCCACGCACTATGGATGAGGCGGAATCACAACTATGCAGCGCTTAAACTTTTGCTTGACCCTTTTTTGAAGATATTTGGATTTACTAAAACCTCCGACCACAAACATCACAGAACAATATATGCGTTTGTCAAGTTGTGCTTCTATCAATTGGAGCATCTGATCAACGATAGGATAAAAAATCGCTTGACAGTCGAAAAATCAAGTTCAATTATCCATTCTTCATCCAACTCTTCTCTGGCTTGACCATTAGCATATTGTTTCAAGGTGGGACAATTTTTTTCAATATCCAATTCGTATGTCTTAAAAATATTCACCAGTAAACGGAATCTTGACACGTTCACAAAACTGATTAATCATATACAGTCAACTCTCTCTGTAACGAACTGATGGTTCTGTTAGTAAAATAAAGTTCGTTATATGTTTTCTATAGAGCCCAGTACTTTTTCTCTAATGAACTAATATAAAATTTAAAAATTTAAGGTTCGTTATATCCAGAGTTCGTTATAAAGATGTTCGTTATACCCAGAGTCGACTGCAGTGAAGTTGGCCGTAGTGCTTATCCCATAGCATTTTCATTGCATTTTCTCCGACTTACTTTCGAAATATTTGAGGAATTCTTTATCTACATAGGTACTACCGCAAAAGTCGCCGGAACGTTCTGTAGCCTCGCCAATCTGATTATCATCAAATAGTTTTCGAGCCACCGCAGTCATACTGATTTAGAAAATAAACATTAAAATTTATGTATAGCGTATAGGGCTGCAGCTTCAGCTAAAATAAAAAACTAGATAAATATTGCAATAACGAGAATGACATGTGGTAAACGTTCGGTAGTTAAATTATGTCAGACTTAAACAAAATTGAGTGTAATTTTTAGCCATAATAATATATTGATATTTGTATTATCTGTAAAAAATTTTCTTTAATAGACTACAATAATAGCATTCGGTATGAATAAAAGAGGTCCGTTGAATATTCTTACACTTCAAATTTAGACACGATTTTACCTTACCTATGAAAATTTAAATAAACAATAATTTCTTTAGCTAACATCAAATATATTTTTGTTTTTTCACACGAATTTTGTGATGAATCACATACCATTTCTCGAAGATAATCAGTGATAGCCTTTTCTGCAAGAAAATTTGGAGTGAGTTCTTCTGGAGAGTTGCCAAGAGCAATTAAAAAGTTCAATAGGTTTTGGTGGTCTGACACAGCTTTCCTTCGACGCCTCTGAGGTTCACCAACTAAAGCTTGAGAATCCCACACAATAACATCTTTTGAAATTGTCATAATATTGTAATACAGTGTTAATTTTTAATGTTATACGTCGTTTCGGAATTCACGTCAATTCCGAATTGACGTACGTCGTTTCGAATTCCAAAATGACGTACGTCGTTTCGAATTCAAATTAACGTACGTCGTTTTGGAATTCTAAAATGACGTATCAAATATAAATTCCGAAATGATTGACGTGGACTTCGGCAAGTTAGAATATAATCATGAAAGACATCAATACATGTATCACGCAAAAATTTGATTTTTATTATCACATTTAATTTGTTACATATATATTATATGATTACCACAGTTTCTTCCTCGATGACACATGAGAGTGCATGATAGAGAAACTGCATAACATGGACAACGAATTGTCATGCACTTACTATTGCAATAACAAGGACCAGGTAATTCTAAATCTTTTCAATTCGGATTTTATTTATGATAATTTGCTGCTGTTCATAAGGAAATGATTTTTGATGAAATTTGATTGAGTTCAGGCCAATCATTAGCATCTAATAGTTCGACTTCATTAGAATGATAGGATATTTCCAATGTTTCAGCTGCACATCCCAAGATCAATATTTCATTTTTATCAACATCTAAAATAACACATGGAAGAAATTTTTGATCTCTTTTTTGATCAATCTTTGGTATAGGAATCTTGACTTTTTCTCCAATATCATAAGAAAGTTGCTTGCGTTTCTTTTTTTCTTGTTTCTTCATGTTTTCTTCAATTTTTTTAGTATTTTCTTGGTGTTTGATTCTTGCTTGTGTACGATATTTTTCATGTTTGTATTGATTTTGATTATAA